CGTTGCTGCTCTGCAGCCATGTAATCCAAGAAAAACAGCGACCCGATGAGACGACTGATGTCTCTGTTGTACGTGCTGCTTTCTGAGCGCTCCGTAATAACGTTAGAGTTGATAATGAGGTACATTTATCATTCCCATTTGATACGGCTAATGCGTTCAGACCGTTTCCAGTGGGAGAATACGTTAAGAGTTTTAAGTGGATATAGGAAGCTATCATTAGGGGTTACCATCATGGTATTTATAGGCCTGTTTTACGCTCTTATGGTTAGTAGATTGCTCGGGATCTTGAAGCACAAGTCCTCAGCTTACTGTTCCTTCTTTGCTATAAATGTGTTTCCCCTCTCACTGGACTTGTTGGCTTGTTTATGTGTCTGCTTGCCTCCTCGCTGCTGCTAAAGGTGCATTAGCCGCAGATCGAGGAGGGGAGGCAGAAACGGAATATCTGCATTAGAAAGAGGAGCATGTTGTGATGTGCTGTATCAAAGCCCCTATTATTGCATGGGAGTTGTCGTTTTTTCTTTTTCTTTTCAGGACGGTTTGACAGATACTGATGCATTACGTCGTGACGGGCTGTGAGCCCGGTCGCCGTGGTAACTGGCGAAACATTTCTCGTGTTTGCAGTTTTCACACGGCAGCCTGAATCCTGGCTTGTTGGAAACGACCCAATGATCTCGGTCATGATCGGAAACGCACCGATCGGGTTTCTCCTATTCCATTTTCCAAGACGAGCAATTTTCAGATTGTTTTCATTTTATTTATTTTTTTTCATTTGAACTTGCACAGATCACGGCCAAAAAGAGAACATAAGCCAATTCATCAATCAGATTTCAGCCAATCATTGGTCATATCTCATCAAGAAAAAATGGAGTAGCTATTGATCTGGTCAAAGAAAAATTGGCCTCTCATTGATTTTAATCTGATTATTAAAAAGGGACTGATTCCCATTATTAATAGAATTAATAATGATAATATTAATTGGAATTTTGGAAACTCCTTTGTGACCATCAAAAGGATCTTGAACGTTAAACTCTTTACCCAGCATAATGTTCGCCACGTGGTTGTTGTGATGGACGGCTTCCTGCCTTTATTTTTATTTTTTTCCTTTCCCCCAGTTCTCTCTGGACCATGAAACGGTCTCCCTGTTGCTGTTGTTGGCAACTGTCTCCAGGAAGTGTCTCCCCTCTGCTTGGCGCTGCTCGATTATTCTGCTGTGCGTAAACAGCCTCTTTTTATTCATTGTCTGGGCTGCGAGGGAGGAGGAGGAGGCGGCGGGGACATGGAGAGAGCGAGGGAGAGAGGTGAAGTCAGTATTCAGGAATGCGCCTTGGCAAGCCTCGGGTCGAAGCAGCCCTGATGACTGGGAGGGAATCCTTGGCAGAGGGAAGCCGGGGAACCCCGTCCCGACACCTCCAGCCCTTCCCCTCTCTCTAACCTCCCTGTTTTCTACCCTCATCTATCTTGTCCTTTTACTCATCCCATCTCTGTCTGGAGGCAAGCCGGCTGCCGTCGAGAAATTGCACAACCAGGCAGGAGCAGAAAAGGGGAACGTTCTTATGTCAGACTGGTGGAGCATAGAAAACAGCAGAAGCTACTTCTCCCACTTCTGCTGGCACACCACAGTCCAACGTCCCCTGTGAGTTCAACCGTGTCCAATCTGAACTCTGAAAACCCTCCAGACAGCAGGTTTGAAAAGCTATCCACAGTGAGTCATCGGCTCTTATTACACAGGCCGAGGAGGGTCTTTTGTTGGAGGGGAGAGGGAGAGAGAAATGAGGGTTGTTTTCAGAAAAGACAATGTGGTTCTAATAATTCAGCAGATCATTTGCAGTAAAGCCCGGAGACATTCTTGTGTCGTCGTGTCGAGCTTTAATGCATATTTGATGCTTTTTTTGCGCCGCTTGTTGTTTTTTTCGTGCGAGTTGTTTGGGTTGCAATAAACCGCTTAGTTTTGCTACAGGCTAAACTGAGAATGATACTTTTCCTACCCTCATCGCTTACAAGAAAGAAAAATTCAGCAGTTTGAAAGTGTTGCAGTTCATTAAAAAATATGTCTGTAGAAACCAAGAAAAAAGGCCTCCCTTCAGCATCTTTTCAAGCAAATGGCGTAGAACAAGGAGCTGGTTGTTACCTCATCACTACCCATATTCTCCTAGACTCCAGGGGGCAGTGTAGGGGGCATAAGGAAATTGTTACATGTTTAGAAGTAAAACAAACAAAAAAAACCCACAGTTTTTAGCAGGAATATGGTGCATCTGTGACTGTGGTGGAGGTATTTTTGTGTTTATGGGCGGGATCATTAAGGTGGATGTATTTATCAACTCTTGCTTGTCCTCCATGTTCCTGAACTGTCTGTGTTGTTACAAATTTTTAGAGGTGTACGTTGTGGAAAATTCGGTTGCCGCAGAAGAGCGTGGTTTCTGAAATGCGGTAGTTTGACTATGTGGCACCGAACAGATGCGATAAGCGTAAATCAGTCTTTATCCGGGTCTGAGCTGGTTCTCCTCAAAGGTTTAACATTCTTGTTTTAGTTTTACTGGTGAGATGGACTCATAGAGCAAGGTGGCTCTAACCCTCCCCCACATGTTGCTGCAGAAGGATATTTTTCTCACGAGAGAGAAATTCTGTTTCCGTTCTGCTGCAGCCTAAAAGTTTTGGTTTTATTACCCTCCAGTCACAATAAGATAAAAGTGACGCTGTTTTTAAAAGTGGAATTTGTCTACAAGTAACATTGCTGTTTTGCAGGCTACATGAGCAGGTAACCCAGCTAACTAACTAGATTTTATTGGCGTGAAAGAAAACGTACTGTTAGTGTAGTGTTATAGTATTTTAGTATTTTTGCGAAAATGGATCATAATCAAAATGGCAGATTAAAGGTTAACCTATCATGTTGCAGCAGATTAAGAATAAATCTTAGAGATTCACATGCTAGCTGGCCAGATACCGAATCCCACTGTTTTGGTCTAGAAAGGCATCAACCTATAATTTCTCAATTTTCAAATTGTTTTCAATTTAATAATGTCAGCTCTATCAAAGAACCAGAGTCACATTGTTTTTCTGTTTTCCATGCTATTCAATCTTTGCAGCTGTGGTTCTTTGTTTTCCTCTTGATCACCAAGAAAACCCATTTATTTAAAACGCCTCCCTGAAGTCTAGTAACTCCCCTCTGCCGCAGTGTGATTAGTTGCCATGTTTGTTTTTAGCTCACTTCACGGGCTTTCCTCTCTTCCAAGCCCCGCTCCGTACAGGGTCACGATTGTTACTCGTGCTGCTCGCTGCGGTCACAACACGAGGTTTCCACAGCAGAGAATACTGCTGTCATTTAATGTTCCAGCCCAGCGCCTTCTAAATATACCCGCTTTCCCACCAATTCACGACGTAATTTCAGCTTCTGCTTACTTCGACTCCGGCGCGCCATGTGGCCGGAGCCTCTCTTTCTCAGGCAGATGTAACGGAGGATGGCTGTTACGTGGGACTTGCTCAGTCATAACCTTGCGTTGCGACAAACACGGTGACTAATCACGCCTCGGACTCGCTGCGGTGACTCCGATCGGCAGCCCTCGTCATTTGGTGTGTTTTTAAAACATGACTGATGTGCCGTCTCCTCACACCACTGACTCATGCGCGTGGTGGGCGAGGAGTTCTGCTCAGCAAGTGAGAGTGGATGGGATGCTCAACTTGTCTAGAGTAAAAATAAGGCATTGGTTGTTTTCTGTCCAAATACGAGGCGGTGTTTATTGTGCAGCGTCGGTGTCTGTTTTTAAAATTTCAAGAGAGACTATCCACACTTTAGGTTGTTGTGTGTGTGTGTTTTTTTTTAATTGCTTCTGCACCAATCAGTTGATTAGCCTTTTATCTTCCTACTTGTAGTATGGAACTGGTAAAATGTCACTGGATTTACGCCAAAATTGTGAATAAATACATCATGACATAACATAAATTTGCCTACATCTAGATTTGTTTGTAAAGCAATGAAAGAAAGTGCAGTGTGGGAAAGTGAAATACCTACATGCAACGTTACATTAGACGCTAGCCAATTCAGGAGCTCCATTTATTTTGATTGCTATTGCTTGGCTGTACCTACAAGAACACAAATAAAAATGCTAGCCTCTGTAGCAGCCCTCAGGCAGTTTCCACTGTACTTATTAATGCACAGTGTGATATATTTGCTGATTGAACTATTAAAATAGATGGGAGTCGTGAGCATTTTTAGATGGAATCTCGAGTATTTGCAGATTTCCTTTAGTTCATAAATCATAACTCTCAGTATTTTGACATAGAAAATTTACAGCTGAATTTGTCCTTTTGAAGGCAAGAGAAGTGAAGTAGTTAAGTTTAGATGCTAAAATTGGCTCTTAGAATAGGTCTTTTTCATCTCTTCCTCATGACACTATACTCTCTCTCTATATATATACATATTGATATATAGAGGTGTTTTTTATTCTCTCAGCTAAATGGCATGATTTTTTATTCAATTGAGTTTGAATCTGATAAGTTAAAAGACGTATGCTTTGATGTAATCTTGTAATTTCCTCGTTTTTGGTTGGATTTTAAAGTATAACTCCTACTAAGAGCCTGCCACACATTTTGTTCTCTTGATGGTTGCTTATATTTATGCTTAGCTGCTGCTTTTGCATACGAATTTAGATGCATTAAAGTTCTTCGCCAAGAAAATCGGGCTGGACAAAAAACGAGAAATCGACCCACGAGATCAGTGCAACTCTGACGGTGTTGGTTTTAAAATTCCTCCAGAGAAGTTCAGCGGTGGCTTGCTTTCAGGTTCGGATCCTCAGCAAACAACAAGTGACTGCGCCGCCTCAGTTTGTGCCGTTTAATCCGAGCCAAACAGCCCTACAAAGCAATTTGTATGCGCGTGTGCATCTCAATGTCACACTGAAGTAATCAAATGCATTAACTACTCTTTGTCTTTCTCTCCCTCCGCCTCCCTCTCCTGCTTGGCTGTATTTTATTCCTCCTCAACCGATGGTGTGCGACGTCCACAGAGCTCCCAGCCGAAGAAGGTAAATATTGATTCTTCTAATGAGCTGCCACCCTCCTCCCTTTACTACCTGATTGAGTGTCCTGTGTATGGATCTTTTTGTTTTATATAGACCTGCGGGTAAACTTTAGGATTGCACCCTGCAGGACTTTCCCACCCATCAGCACACAGCACTACTCCTTTGTAAACAGCCTGGCTTTTCCAGCTGCTCATCATCATCATCATCTCAGATCTAATGTCAATACGTTGCTCCGCCTTTCTGGGCGAGCTTGTGTCTTGATCTCGATGTGATGTGTGTGTGTGTGACGTGTCGTTTGCACGTTTCAGGGAAATCCCTGTGGGAGTTGGTGGTGGAGCAATTTGAGGACCTCCTGGTCAGGATCCTGCTGCTAGCTGCCTGCGTCTCCTTTGTGAGTACCAGCTAATTAAAACGCCGCCAGCACTCTCCTTATTTCTGCTCTGTCTTCATTGTAAATGTGAACCCAGTGGGACTTGAGACCCTAATTGGACAACGGACAGAAAATTGCTGCCTAAAAGACTGCCCTGTTAGCCACTTTATTCTCCTCTTAGGACTCACAGAAACCTCCAGAACGGTGAAAAGGTTTTACCCCTTTACACATATCTGCAATTTTTCTTTTCAACTTTTGCTTTATTCTTTATGGAAATACAATTCACCTCCATCTCAAATCATGTTTGCATTTGTCTCGCATGTTTTTTTTTACTCAACGTTCCTTCATATCATGAATTAAAATCACTTTTCCTTTTCACATTTTATAAAAAATAAAAAATGAAGAGCCCACTGCACTGAAAACCTTCTGGTTGCTCCTCCTGATATCGACTTCTGAACTCTTCTTGAGTTAAAACTTTAGAATTGCTGTTTCTAAATGAACATAAACTTCTTTTCTTTATATTGTTTGATATCTGTAAGCACTTTTTTGTTATTTTCTGGAAATAGATACAAAATTTTACCTTGCAGTTTCTTAGACATGTCAGTAGATTACAGAATAAAAAACAAAGTTCATTTTACTCAAACATATACATATAAAGAATAAAACCTTTGTATAATTTCTTTTTCCTTAATAGATGAAATCTTAATCAAAAACAGCATTTTGAATCTGCTTATGCTTTTCTTCTATTAAAATGTTAAAATGTGACCAAAAAAATAGAAAATTTGAAGGTGGCAATAATTTTCCCTTCACCGGATGAAGCAAAACATGCAAAGTCTTTCCGTGTGAGCCCGTCTGGTGTGATTTCTGCACAGGGAACAAGTACAGTGCGTCTGCCAAAAGCTGGAAACAAAACAATGAATCAAAACTCTGTGTGTTGTGGTGCCTCAAACTGTGACCCTGGCTACAGCCTGAGGGAGGAGAAGGTCACAAAGGGGTGGAGGGAGGGAATCCTGCCTGTTTAATGACTTTTTTCCATCTGTTGCAGCACTTCCCCGCTGTCTTGGGATGAAAATTGCTATTGCTATTTCTGGGACGTCGGAAAATCGCTCTAAAAACGCTCATGACAGAAGATAACTCTTGTCAGTGCGAGGACTTGGGCTTTTTATCTGCGTTCGTAGACAAACGCTGTAGCTGAACGGCTGTGCTGTTCTAGGTCACGGTGGTTTCAGTGGAGTAAGGCTTTTGTAGCAACACAAAAACAAAACTACGTTGCCGTTGATCGGCTTCTTGAAGCGTTCTTGTTTCGGTGCTCTGCTTTTGATTGATGAGATATTTATAGTTCTTTCATGAGTCTATTTGCTCAGTGTTTTGTATGTTTCCACTGGGGTCAGGGAGTGGCAAAAGCAGAGTGGAGCTGAGTCAAAGTTGAACCCTAAACCCGGACTCATTTGGTTGCAATTTTGAATAAATTCAAATTGGGATCATGAGATTTTCCAGCCTCCTTTGCATTGCGCGACAATGAAGGTCATTGAAGTAAAGTGGATCTGGTCAGGTCGCCTGAGCACTTGTGCAGATCTTCAGGAAAAAGTTTTACAGTTTTATTTAAGGACAAAAAAGGCAAAGAGAGAAAAAGAGGGTTCTTTGACAGAGGAAGTCATTTTAAAATCCAAGAGGAAGTGACAAAATAAATGACTATTCAGCTTATAATCCCAACCCTGTAGGAAAAAAAGTTTCTTTTTTAGGATTTGACCTGCTGATCACAGATCAGAGCCATATAAGGGAAAAACTTTCAGAATCGCATCTCTGGCCAACTGATTGGTGCATCTCCTGTGTGCTGTTTGCAGTTTTTATTTGACTAAGCCGCTAAAGTAAGCCACAACCCCGTAAGAGGTTTTGCAGGAAGGAACCACAGCAACCCACCCTAACCACCGGACACAATAATAACTGGAGCACCGTCTCTCAATGTGGGGTCGGGTTAATGTTAAAAGTCTCGTCGAATACAAGAGGAGGCCTGCAGTTTATAACAAACTATTCAAACAAATAGTTTGAATATTTGCCTGCATACAATAGAAAAACACTTTATGCCTATCAAGGTTTCCCTCAGAAAACTTGCTAAGCTTGGTGTTTGGGTGCTACATTTTAAAAAGACTTGAATAAATAAGCAATGCTTAGCCTGGTGGGGGCAAAAGTGAAGCTTGGTGGCCCGCCAGGCTTACAATACACCGGGGGAAACCCTGGGCTGCAGTTGTTTGTTTGTGACGATTAAGTTTTGGTGTGATGTTGAAAGCTGAAAGGACAGAGTTAGTTTTGGGAATCAAGTGACGAAGCAGAACACAATCAAATTTCAGGCCGGTTTCCCTCAGTAAATGTCAAAACCGCAAAATCAACCCAACTTCTCTCTTTGTTTGAACTCCTTAACAGTGAGGTGAAAGCACTTGGGTATTGAAGGCAGCCTCTGAATCTATGATGATTGTCCCGAGTGCCTTTTGAGCCGTTCTCGGCGCGAGAGCTGCTGTCGTTGCCCTCCAATTTCAGCTCGGTCAGAAGAGAGGCTCGGCGTCCCAAATGAGGGGGAAAGATGAGCTATCGACCGAGCTCAGGCTGCCGTGACGGCGGCGCGCGCCGGTGCTCAATACTCCGCAGAGAATATATTCCGCTGTCACTCGATGGGTCCCATCGAGGCCGCCGTGGCATAGATCCACTTTTATTGCTGTATTGCTTTTGTGGTCCAGCCGTTGAGGCTGTGAAATAAATAAATAAATAATGGGAGCTTATTTGGTGTTTAAAAGCACACATTTGTGGAAACAAACAAACAAAAAAGAAAAGAGCTCAAGAGAAAATTGAACTTCTTTTCACCAGGCATTCAGAAGTGCAACGCCGACTGAATGTTAATGATGCCGACTCTGCGTTTGCACAAAATGAAGCCAAAATAAAGAAACAGTGTTCGTGCAAAGAAGTCGTGTCTGACTGCTTCCATCGACGGGGAGCTAGAAAAAAAAAAAAAAGAGACGTTGTTAATCAAATGCGCCGCTCAGCTTGATTCCCAGTCGGCATGACGACCTCTTGGTATGATAACATTTGCACAGAAATTTGAAACGTCTGACACGATTTAATTGCTTTAAAAGTTAAACAAAAATGCAATAACTGCAATAATCCAGTTTCTGTTAAAATAATCCAACACAATAATTATTGATATCTTTTCTACAAACTTAAAATGTACTATTTTTGATTCTTATCACAGACTTTCCACACTGAGACTGTCTGGGTTTTTCATAAACGAAAGTATATTCAGGCGATTTTGTCTTTCTTACAAGTAAGCGAAAAGTGCAGGAGACTTCTTTTAGCCAGCTGGCTGGCAGTGTGCAGCAGCAGGTGGGAAAGGGGGAACAAAAAACATAAGCTGCTCCTGGAACTAAGTTGAAATGGGGGGATATTCTTCTCATTGTGCCTGTTGTTTTGTGGGCAAACTTTGTCAATGTGGCATCTAGAAGTGAATCTATTAAGCCTGTACAGATGTTTATTTTTGCATTTTTGTTAGAAAAACAAAAATATTTTTAAAGCTTTTTCTTACTGTTTTTTTATTTTTATTTTTCTTTTACTTAAAACTACTTTAGGTCATCAGCTGTACTTGTCTTTGTCTTTTTTACCCCCCTTTGTTTCTGGCTACAACAAAGGAAAACTGAGACTTTGTTGCTTAAAGTAAGTTACTATAAATTGTAATAGTTTTATCAAAGGTCACCTAACAAAAGAGTAAAACATTGGGGTAGTCAGATGACAGTAGTTGTTTATTTAGCTAAACAAAATAAAAAAAAAAGAGAAAGAAGTGGTAACAGACACGTTTGATCTAAGCTAATTCAGTCGAGCTTTAAGTAGAAACGTAAATGTTAGCTATCAGGGGTTTTGGCATTTGTCTGGACGGACTGGGGGTTAGTTATTATTGCATATTAATTTGAGCTTCTTTTTCCAGATTCCTCCTTGAATGACTTTTGTTCTGCCAGCGTCTGGGGAAAATGTGACCTGAGAGTGAAAAATGTTTGCTTACTTATGTTGTATGTTCTTCTAGGTGTTGGCTTTGTTTGAAGAGGGAGAGGAATCTACCACCGCCTTTGTAGAGCCTCTGGTTATTCTGCTTATCCTCATTGCCAACGCTGTTATTGGAGTATGGCAGGTGAGAAATGTTTTTCATGCAGTCTGTGTGTAACATTTCGTGTGAAAAAGCCAGAAATTTGCAGAATAATCCTGGAACAATGTCCTAACCCTGTCCTGTTACAACCAAACCACAGCTAATTATGCTGGAATATACAGATCCATATAAAACATAATATTTATGTTCCAATAACCAGAAGAAGGGATGAGCAGCGAGATTGTGATTGACAGCGCTAAGACCCGCCCCCTGGCTCTGATTGGTTGTTTCTAGTTAGCACTGGGAGAAAACAGAGGAGCTAGATTTTTTTTTAAAATTTTTCAGAGTGTCTATCAGGCTATACTGCCTGATAGACATATTGACAGTTTTGACAAATATGTAAAAAGAAAAAAAAAGGAGAGAAGTATTTTTATAAAAGTTACAGACTGCAGTTTTGACAACAGCCAATTTCTCAGGTAATCAAAGATCAAGCATGGTGGTGGAGGAGTGATGATGAGGGAGCCTTTCGATCCTTGACTTTTTTCACCTTCAATAGATAATAAATATAATGGTTTTGTACACTGGGGTTTAGGTTTTGATAATTTCAGAACTGGAAGTTTAGACTTCATAGAGAGCACACTTTGTTTTTCTCACGACTGTTTACATATTCACATACCTAAGTAGTTATAACCTTTACGAACCTGTGCATCCCGGTGAATTATAAATCCCAACACAGGTTGGGATTTGTCCTGTTAGCCCATTACGATGTGACATGTCTGTCAGGTTAAGACATGATCATGTAAAATGTCACACGCTTCATTTTCACTGAAGAGAAAGAAGAAAGTCTTATTCAAGATCCCCAGTAAAGGCAACATAAAATATAGTCATGCTCACCATGCTTAATCTTAAAACAAAAATGCAGAGAAATTTATCGAATTTTCTTTATGAAGGCAAATATTTCTATGGCCAAAGCACATTTTTCCAAAATGACCTTTAAATGAACGCCTTTAGTGTGAACATCAGTTTGAAGAAGAAAATGCTAAATTGCTCCTGATGCATCTTTTTGTTTTGTTTTTTTTTTCTTATATTACTCGCCGTTCGCGGTGCAGGAGCGGAACGCAGAGAGCGCCATCGAGGCTCTGAAGGAGTACGAGCCGGAGATGGGGAAGGTGTACCGCATGGACCGCAAGGCCGTCCAGAGGATCAAAGCCAGAGACATCGTCCCCGGAGACATAGTGGAGGTGGCAGGTTAGCCGAGCCTGAATTCTCACTGTCACTTCCTCAGATGAATTTGTGCTTTGACACACACACACACACACACACACACGCACACACACACACACAAACACACACACACACACACACACACCCCCCACACACACACACACACACACACACACACACACGCTGCTGTTCCCTAGCTGCCTGCACGGCCCCATTACTACTGACATACACAGAAAACACTCTTTACCTTTCATTCTTCAGCCTGGAAAGACTGTTGGAATATCTCAGACTGGATTGTATAACTTTTCTGTAAGTGCAGGTCTTGCTGTCAGCTGTATCTGTTTGTGTGGAAGTTTGCTGCGGTCTCTGCCCTTATTTAAGACCCGGTTTAAGTTTCCACAGCTCGCTCTCTCTTTTGCTTTCCATGCGCTCAGTCTCACCACCTGGACGCCGCTTGATGTTTAACTCCTCACTCACACTCCACCCCACTCTCCTCCAACACACACACATTACAATTCCCCTGCTGTAAAGTCGTGGATGTGTGGGCAGTCTGCGCTAAAAATAGCCTCATTTGTCACTTGGGAGCTCCACCAACATCTGTGTATTCCTGGCACACAAGCCTCCGAGGAGATCACAGCAGCATCAACACGGCTGGTTTTTTTTGGAGGGTTGGGGGTGACTGTAGTAATCCTGGGCTCTCCCTGGCTGGGGATTTGTTTCAGGTGGTTGGGATGATTTATGGGAAGAGAGATGAGTGTGTATGTGAGAGAGACAGAGAGAGCGAGGGAGAGAGAGATCAGGGTGTTCATTCATAATTACAACACAGAGAGGAAGGGAGAAGGAATATAGCTGCTGCTGCCATGGTTTCAACACCAAGGTTCAAAAAGTGAAGATCAAAAAGAAAAAAAAATCATCAAATGGCTCCTAGAGAAGCCCTCATGGCTTTGTTCATTTTCAGGAACGAACCACAGAGAAATAAATCTCTCCTTACACACTGGTTGGTACACATTGAACTTGTTTTACTCTGCTTTTTTTTTTCTTTTTTTTTTCTCACAACAACGCTTACTTGGAATTTGGGCTTGTTGCAGCCAGCGTCCTCGATCGCACATGAATGTGTTCTCAGTCATACGAGGACAAGCCTTCACAGGTAGAGCTTTCCGAAGCTCAGCCCCTGCCTTACCTCCCACTGTTACCAGTGCTGTCACCAGCACTTCTCTGCTCGGTCCGTCACTGAGCTTTAAGACGTGTTGTGGGTTTTTAATTGATGGTGTGTGACTGCTGGTGATCAGCAGCTGGCACCTCGATTCGACGACAGGGATGGGCAGGAGGACAAATACTTATTTTTGGGATTATTCTCAACTGATTTGGTTGAATAAGTTCTTGATGCTGAACTTTATCTCTGATTAGCAGAACTGTGGCCAGTTTAGAGATTAAGAGGAGTTATTCTCACTACTCTTACCTGCAGAAGAAAGACAAAAAGAAATGTTACCTAAAATGGACAGAGATCAATTTTTTTATGCTCAACTAAATATTCTTAGGGAACAGAATTCTGATATTACTTGTTTCTGATTTTATTTGTTTAGTAACGTCAATTTACTGGTTGTGATTTGTTACTTGTCCAACAGGGATGGGCCAAAATTTGCAGGGAATACTGGAAGAAAAAACCCTGATTGGCCGACGGTGTTATTCAATTTGCATTCATCTTATCAAGCGTTTGTTAATGATGCATTGAATGAACCTCATTTAAAATGAACAAATGACACTTCGCCTGGAGAAGGGGCAATTAAAGCCTGACGCTCTGCCAGGCTTATTAATACACTACAGGAAATCCTGCCTGAGATGCATAAGATGTATAACAACATTCAAGATATTTCTTCCACCCTTTCATCCATAAGCACTTCAGGGTTTCTCCCAGAAAACTTGCTAAACCTGGTGGCTGGGTGCTAGTCAGTCATTCAGCAGTCTGCTGTGTTTTTGACTGTAGAAATGTTAAAATTTCACTTGATAATTATGTCATTGATCTTCTTGGAAGATCAATAGTTGAATACCGACAATAAAGTTTTAGAAAATGCAAAACATTTAAAAAAAACTAAAACAAATAATAATTCTTAGCCTGTTGGGGACCCAAGCAGAGCCTGGTGACCCGCCAGGCTTACAGTAGACTGTGGCAAACCCTGCAGTCATTACTTATCTATGGTAGGGAAAGGCAAGGTCATGTGAAAAAATAGAGAAAAATTATATTTGAAAAATTAAATTTTAGTCTCAATGTGTGTTTGGTGCAGAATGCAGATGCGTCGATTTACTCTGAAATGTCTAAACTTGAATGCTGAAATGTCTAAACTTGAATGCTAGAGATGAGAAAAGCACAACTTTGTTGTACCGCAAGCAGCTTTCATGTACCAAAATACAATAGCCCAAAAATGATCAGCATGAAAGTTCCCCTTTGGTACATCTGTACTGAGAGTTTTTATTGGCGGTAGCATTGGCAGCACTCCATCAAGAAAGCTTGCTGAAGATCTGTAGTAATGATGTTGTGCACCTTTCTGCAGAGTTGTGAAATGCATAGTCATGCAGGGAGTAGTTCCAGTCAACTGACATAATGCTGTTGCTTAGCAGTTTTAAACAGGGGTAAACATCTGAGGTCCATCCTCCAAGGCAATCTTCAAAAAAAACATCCTTCGGGGATCTGCAGTGGTCTGAATCTTGTTGGGATAAGGTGACAGAGAAAACACATCACTTTCCTCCACTCTGGTGACTTTTCCCACCTTGTTCTGCACTGCAGATTAGTTGGCGGTTGTTCCACAGGAACCCGATGTGGAGGGGGGTAAAGCGGTGGTTCAGGATAAACTGTATGGAGGCTTCAGAAAAGGAGCAAACGAGTGAGTGCTCCTGAGGAGAGAGGAGAGCATAAATATATTTACTCAAGTTTCCACCAGCGCTGCTGACAGTGCCAGCCACGGTTACGACGCGGTTGTGATTTGCGCCTCCGCTGGAACTTTCCTCTCTTGTTTGAATGGCTTCACTGCGGCGGTCTGGTTGTCAAGAGTTACCCAGGAGTTTATATGGAACCCAAAAGAGGGAAACCTACGCGGCGTCTGTCCAAAAAAACAAGTCACGATGACCCTGCACGTGAGATTTAGCTCGGGAGTTCTAATGAATGGATGGAAAACTGACTTGTTATTTTTTTTTGTTAGGAAAGCATCTGCTATGTTCCAGTTGCCAAATTAAACCTAGAGTGCTGTAATCCTCTTTATCATTTATTCCTTTAGCTAAAGCTTGGCAAAGCTCTACCAGCATAAAATCTCTCCTTGTTGCCTGTGGGAGGCCGTGGCAGAAAGAGGAGGTAGGCGTTTGAACAGCATGTCTTTACTGCCCTCGGCCTGTCCGGCTACACAGAACCTGCAGCCCCAAGCCATCTCCTACACACACACACACATTTCCCAAAGCGCCTCTCACCCTGATTTACCAACAGTCTCATAGAAGTAAGAAGTAAAACTGTTCTCAGATAACACTCTGCCTTCAACTGTGTTCCATAAAGATTATCATTAATTTATAATATCTATATGTGAAATCTGACTTAAATTATTTCACGTAAAATAGAAAGGTAATTATCGCTTCTACTGCTGGTGAAACTGTCTCTTATTATCCCCATTAGAAGGTGTAGAGGTACATGGAGCTCACAACAAAGAACCATAATTGATTTTCTCAAGTTTTCACATCTACAGTCAAATTTGCTAAATTAGAATATCATGAAAAAGTTAATTTCACTAACTCCATCACTGTGAAGCACGTTTTATAGGACACAGATTGGTGTTTTCAAGCTTTTGTCATTTATGACAATTTTTATTCTGCTTGCAGTTGATGAAAGCATGTCACGTAAGGTTAGAATATTACGTCAGACCAGTAATACAGGGATGTTCAATACGAAAATGTGAGTTTTAAAAAAAGTGTATTTAATACTTGCATAAAGATTTTTCAAATTTGACAAAGCAGTCTCATTGGAACACATATTCTGATTTATTGAATGTGACTAAAGATTTCACTGTTTACACACTGTAACTGAAAATAATATCAGTCAGGTCTAGAATTTCCTTTGCTGTCAACAGAATGTTTCTTCAAAAAATTTCCTTTGGCATTGTTAGCAGCTAATTTACTGCTAGCTAAATAAAAGGCAAATTGCTAGCAGTTAATTTTTGTTAAGTACTAATGGTTAACAGCTAACTGTTAGTAGTTAACGGATGGCAGCCAACTGTTAGCAGCTAACTGTTAGTAGTTAACGGATAGCAGTTGTTAGCAGTTAAAAGTTAGCAGCCAACTGTTAGTGGTTAACAGTTAGCAGCCAACTGTCAGCAGCTAACTGCTAGTAGTTAACGGTTAACAGCTAACTGTTAGTAGTTAAAAGATAGCAGCTAACTGTTAGTAGTTAAAAGTTAGCTACTTTTAATGGATAGCAGCTAACTGTTAGTAGTTAAAAGTTAGCAGCCAACTGTTAGTGGTTATCAGTTAGCAGCCAGCTGTTAGTAGTTAATTGTTAGCAGCCAACTGTTAGCGGTTAATGGTTAGCAGCCAACTGTCAGCAGCTGACTACTAGTAGTTAATGGTTAACAGCTAACTGTTAGTATAACTTTTAACTGTTAACAGCTAACTGTTAGCGGTTAACTGTTAGCAGCTAACTGTTCGCGGTTAGCGGCTAACTGTTAACAAAAACTTTACCGAAGAACTTTGCCTTAAAAATGGAAATTTCTTCAATGTTCATTAACTGAATGCTGTTATCTTGTCTGAAGATTAGTCAGCATACAACCAGAAAATAACTCGAGAACAACTTCCTGTCTGTCTTCAAAATAATGTTAAAAGTCTTGACTGTCAAAATTAAAGCAATCCCCTTCATATCCGTTGTTTGAAATAAAAGGTTATACTTTCTTCCTAGAGGAAGTCGTTATGCTAAAAGCAAATGGACAAGACTTTAAGATACATATTCTACTTGCAGAAGAAAAACTGGTGTTTTAATTTGCAAATCAATCCACATCTCACAAACCTGCAGAGGCTCTCACTTATGAAAATGTTCCATAAATGTTATTTCTTTAAAAAAATTTTTTTGATTGGACTAGAATCAAGAAGCAACTTTATAAGGAAGGATTAATAAACAGAAAGCCCAACTTTTCAGCTTGTGTCTGACATGTATGAGGAAGTGTTGCATCAGAGGTGCAGGGAGTGAAGAGAGAACAAAAGGGAGGGGAAAACCATCGATTCTTGTGCAACGACAACGTGACTCCATCAAGGTTGTATCGAGCTGTTGTTTACCTGTGGCTGGAGGCTGATCCTGGTCTAAACCCATCTGTGTTTTTCACCCAACGATGTATTTTCTGAACACGGACGTTTAATGCAGTTTGACCAGAAACGCTGCAATTCTCCTTTAGGGTTCAGCCCAGGATTTACCTTATTAAAAGTGCATGTTCTCTTTGCTGTTTTTACGCAGAAGCTCAGTGGTTTGTTGTTTTAAAATCTAATTAACTGAATTCTAACAGTTTTGGGAGATCCTTGAAAAATTTTCACGCCTTCCGTGAAAAGACTGAATTCATTTTTCTGCAATGACAAACCAAGGTTTTCATTTCCACGGGCACTTTGGAAATTGGTTTTCAATGTTAACTTGTGTTTTTAGGGGGTCTATATTTGTAAATGTAATTATGACTAAGTCAGTGCCTCAGTACATGTTACTGGTGTACAGTAATGGAGTTTGTCACAGCTCTTATTTGTGTTACAATAAGCAAAACTAAAGGCACTTAACACTGAAATTTATTCAGATTGTAAATAATTAGAAGTGAAATTCTGTCAATCATTCCTAATTTTGAAAATACATTGAAAGCCCTTTTTAGGATTGATGTTTCAGAAGTATTAATTATAGCTTATGATTAAACTTCAATCTGTTTCATTTATTTAGCTTTATTAATTTATCATATAATGATTACAGTAGGGGCTTATGTGGTAGAGCAGATGGCCATGTCTCCTGGTAATCATAATTTGTACTCTGTTCACAAAATTTGCATTTAATGAAAGAAAACCTGAGCATTCTCCTTCAGGGAGTTTTTCTGGGAAAGTGAGTTTAAAGCACCAGCTGTCATTAGAGCTTTATAGCAATACTTTAGTATAAAAACTGAAAAAATGTTGAAATGTAACACTAGTTGGACTTTTTATAGTTTTCCAACAACTTTTTTTTGGGGTGGTGTTTTTGTTTGTCTCCATTTTTGTAGATGTTAAACTCAAAGTGGGCACAGAGAACACACACTTACCTTATGGATACACAGGTTAATTGTAATGAGAATTATTATTACCAAATTTAATAGTGATGTAGGCTACAAATTGTTCATCTCAAGTCCAGACAATCAGAAACTGAAAGCTGTACAGTCAGGTTCTTTTCACACCAATCACCTAGAGATCACCTTCCACCCATTTCTACGTTTAAAACCCACACACACACTTATTGCTTTAAATAAAACCTCTGCTTTTGTTTTACAAACAACGTTTTAGATTTTCAGCATTGTCGATTAGAGGTCAGCATTATCACAGGGTTTATCATAGAAGTACATTATAACTTTCCTCCATTTTGCCAAACCAATTCCCTAAAGCATTTAGAATCTGTCCAGCTGTAAACTGATTTTGGAAAGGAAAAAACAAAACAAAAAGCAAACACTGAGAGAAAATAAACAGCATGGTCAAATTCAGAAAAGACAAATGGACAAGAATGCTAATAAAAACATCCGTTTATTGATTTTATTTTTTATTTTTCTAATGTTTTAGTTGGGGACAAGGTGCCTGCTGACATCAGAGTGACCTCGATAAAGTCCACTACTCTACGAGTGGACCAGTCCATCCTTACAGGTACCAGTCCTCTCTGACCAAACACCGTATGCAAATGTCCACTTTAATATTGCGTGGTAATTAGTGTGCAGTGTTGTTTACCTAATGATATGTCTTGGTAATGGTGCGTTCATGGGCTGCACGACATTAGGAAAACGTGCTTTAATACCGGTGAAGGTTGCTATAATGATGTGACCCGCAATAGATGAACAATTAAGTAAATAGTCTAGAAGCATTGCACAGAAATTATCTGCCTTACGCATGCTGCGTGTGGTGATGATGTATTGATAAATTGGTTATTTATTGTGCATACCTAATTACATCTATGTGGAAATCCATTGCAGGATAGTAATGTGTTGTTGTTTTAAGGGGAGTCTGTGTCCGTCATCAAACACTCTGACCCGGTTCCTGACCCCAGAGCTGTGAACCAGGACAAAAAGAACATGCTGTTTTCTGTGAGTAAACCCTCTGCAGTTCCCTGCAGCAAGCTCTTTTTTTATATAAGGAAACTTGATCAAGTTCCTGCAACACTCGGGGATATTATGCCTTTCTCTCTCCTCAGAAACAAATAAGAACTTAAAACAATAAAACCAAATCCCAAGAAAAAAAACAATCATAGCAAAATCTAGACTTTCATGTGTCTGAGGTCAAATTGTTGTTTTCACAGCCAAGCAGACTTTAAAAAGAAACTGGAAGAAGAGTTAAAAGGAAGTAAACAATATTAAAAAAAATCTAAGAAAGAAGTGGCAACAATTTATCTAGAAGTTAAATCTGTAATAGAAGTAAATTACTGTTTCTCTCCTGCTTGTTTCTCTGCTTTCCTCAGGGCACCAACATCGCCGCAGGCCGCGCCATCGGCGTCGTCGTCGCTACGGGCGTCAACACCGAGATCGGTAAAATCCGCAACCAGATGGCGTCCACGGAGCAGGAGAAGACGCCGCTGCAGCAGAAGCTGGACGAGTTCGGCCAGCAGCTCTCGAAGGTCATCTCCCTGATCTGCGTGGCCGTGTGGGTCATCAACATCGGCCACTTTGGAGACCCCGTCCACGGCGGCTCCTGGGTCCGCGGGGCGATTTATTACTTCAAGATCGCCGTTGCTTTGGCTGTGGCCGCCATCCCCGAGGGCCTGCCCGCCGTCATCACCACTTGTCTGGCCCTGGGCACGCGTCGCATGGCCAAGAAGAACGCGATCGTCCGCAGCCTGCCGTCAGTGGAAACCCTGGGCTGCACGTCTGTCATCTGCTCTGACAAGACGGGGACCCTCACCACCAATCAGATGTCTGTCTGCAGAGTAAGTAGTCAGTGGAAAAGTTTACGCAGATTCAACATTGGCGTGTTAAAATACATCCTTTTCATGTGCTACTTCCTTAAACGGTGTCCTCACATCATTAAACGGCCTTAAAGTCGCGTATCTAGAATTAAGATCTAGAATTCAGTTCAATAAAATTAATGAAAAAATTATGTAAGTTGGACTTAAATGCTTTAATCGCAGGTCTTAAACTTTGTCCTTTCAGGAATATTTAACCTCGTATATGTACGGTAGTTTTGTGTCAGGCAAAAGTTTGAGTCACAACATTTTTATTGCGTTCTGGGATTCGTGCCAGATGAGGCTATTGGTTACAAGCTGATAATACAAGCTAGCTAGCAAATAGCAGGATTTGCCAGGTAGGTATTTCAGCTTGTTAAAATGGCTAGCTAGCTAAAATAAGCTTTCTAGAAATATAGCAATTCAGGCAATGCTTCATTGTAAGACAGGATCTCCAACCTTTTGTCATAATTGCAGTTTTTTTCTTTGTAAATTTAATTTAAGATGGCATTAAAAATGTCTTTAAAAGTCTTGAGTCTGTCCAGCTTAAACGTGCAGATTCTTGTATGAAAACAAGAATTTGGTGCACAAGTTTGATATTTATTGTTGATAATCTTCAAGCTAAAAAGGATAAAATAATGTATGTTTTCCTGAGATGGTAGAGTTTGGTAAGACCCGGTCAGGGTTCTGGTTCGGTCCGTTCTGAACTTAGTGTTGGCTTTCAGTTTGACCTGTAGGTGTTGATCTTGGAGCAGGTACTTCGTTCTCGGTCATCTCTCTCTCTCTTTCTTTGTCTCTCTCTACATCTCTCTCTCTCTGAATGCTGGCACATAAACCTGGTGGCTCCTGGGTTGTTCCAGAACATCCTAACCAAATTCCTGTCGGCAGTTTGGGTCCAACGTTGTTCCTGGGAAGTGTGCATAATGATTTTGGGAGCTGAACTTCTGTAGGGTTATTTTAAGTCTGTTTTTTACCCTCCTCTTTCTTAACATTTTCCGTTAAAGCTGGAAAATCCTTTTTTTGTTGTTGTTGTTCTAAGGTTTATCTACACTTGCCAGGTTTCGTGATAGCTGCTGGTAGAGCTCAAGCAGCGCCCAGACAACGACAATGCCTCTGTATCGCCAAATCAGCTTCCACACAGGCCCAGTAAAAGCCTCTGAAATGTCACGTTGCCTGAACAAACAGTGCTCTGGTCCGTGGCCCGAACTGTTCACCAGGTTGAATAAACTGTGCATATATAACCACATTAGACTACAAACTCTGAAAGATCTTATCCACAAATATTCATAACTTGCACATAGCCTCACCCTTTCCCTTTGTCTGCCTGTGTGTGGTACTCGGGGAATGACTTTTCTCTAAGCGCGGGGTAAATGTCAGCTCTGCTGTTTGTCTCGACTCCTGTTAAGCGCTCTGCACACATCCCAGTCTCAGTTAACACCTTGTGCTTTCATCCCGTAGCTCATCCCTCACCTCAGTCGCATAGGAACCGGCGGCCAGCGTGAAAGCACCAAAATTTAAGCATCATGATGTTTGGAGGAGTAAATGGAGGAATCATTCGTATTTATTCAGTCAATTGTATATGTTTATCATTAATTAGTTAATCATAGCTTGTCGAGTCGAGTACTTGAATTGCCAGAGCTAACAAAATGTTCTCTGTGTAAAACAAAATACTAGCATCCTTTTTTTTTTTTTAACCCATCTAGATGTTTTGTTGAATATCCAGTTAAAAAGTATCAAAAATCTCATGAGACTTTGACCAAACAGTGAAAATTTACATTTAGAAATCATTTTTTTGTTATCTCCTGAAAAGTAAAATTTGGGGATATTGATTTTTTTTAACAGTATCGATTTTTGCTAGTTTTTTTTTCTCTATAAAAGAATAAATACACAGGTCTGTCATTGTAATTATAAATGCAGCTATAAATACAAATATTTAATGCATTTCGACAGGTGAATTGATTCAACCTCGCTTCTAGGTCCGGTGCGATTAATTGGATTAATCACAACGGACTTATTGATATAATTGTTGGCTAATTTAGTAACTGATTGTCAACTGGAGTATAAAAACCGAAAAAAATTGATTTGCTGAAAGAAAAGCACACCGAGAGCAGCAATTAGCCATAAACTGTACCAAAAATACATACATTTTGCATTTAAGTAAAAATAAATAAATAAAAACTTTGTCTTTAAATAGTTGCATAGTTATAGCTTCACCAGTTCAAATTCTGTAAAATTATTAATTGGTTGATAAAAAATAAAATATGTCAGCAGATCAGCCCTTCACTGTATCGACGAGTTGAGCAGAAAGGGCCGAATTTCCTGTATTTTTTTAGTTTCAGATGCATTCTTTGCCACAAATGATGAATCTTACACTAAATACAGTTTTTGCAATTGCAAATGTTTGTTTTTATTTTAAAAAGTTCTTAATTTGCATCTCTGAGATGCAAATCGAAGTTTAATTGGTCAAATGGAAAACCTATCCGATTAATCGTCAGAATAAGCAATGGAATAATCGATTACTAAAATAAGTTGCAGCGTTTTTAAGTGTAATCTGGAGGTTTTTGCAGAGCATGTCTGCAGTGGCAGGCAGTCTGTTTCTCCCCTGAGACGATGTTGAGCGTCTGTGGGATAAATGCGTAGCAGCAGGGAGTTCCCTGCAGCAGCAGCAGCAGGAGCACAGGGGAGTGAACCTACCACAACCTTGAAAGCTTTCCAGTCCCAGAAAAAGCCTGAAGACGGGCTGACACTAGTAAATATTGACTTTCTGCTTCTACCTTTACTGCCCCGGCTCTCTGCTCCCCTCCTGCAGAGAAGCAGGCACGCCTTATCACAAAGTCAAATTAGGCTTCCTCTTTCTTGTGCTTTTTCTTTTTCTTTTCGTCTTCGGATGCTGTTTCCTGATGATAGTGTTTTTTGTGGTAACTTAACTCCTCCCCGGCCATGTTTACTGTGTCCTTCCTCTGTTTTTATGCTTTTTTCACTGCGTCGTCAGTCCTCCAGTTCCCAGCAGCACCAGGCATCCCTCTGTTCCCCCTGCTCAGTCAGGGGGATTCCCCTCATGTCCAGGGATTCCCTCCTGAATCCTGACACAGCATTTCCCATTTTCTTTTGACTTTTATACACTTGAAGCACAGACACACACACACACACACGTTACTGTCAGCAGGGTTACTCACAGTGCATCCCCGTGTAACCTCCGAGGAAGTGAGCAGGGCGGCAAAAAGAAACAAACTTCTGGCGCTACTACTGAGTCACATGGATCGCACTGCGCCTCGTTCCCTTGGAGTCGGTCGGATAGCGAGGGGAAAACAAAAAGAAAAAAGATCACTCCTGTTTTGACTCTTTAATTTTTTTTTCCCAACGGTTTTATCTATCAGATAACGGCAACCCATTTAGAGAATAACGCATCATATCTTGCTAAAAAAGTTACTCCATTAGTTTTGTCTTGGTGTATCAAGATATTTGCACTAACGAGACCCCCCAAAAACAAACAAACATAAAAAAGGATCGGTAAGATTTAGTGTCTTTTGCAGCAGCCTGACATCGGTGTGCTTCATCTACTGTGGATAACTGAAGCAGTGAGGCTTCATTCAGCTGTTACAATTCATTATGGGCATGGAAAGCATTAATTCATCACAGCTGGACTTCAGTATTTAGCTGGTAATGCTTTCCAAACAGTGTTGTGCAGCATTATTGCACCATAAGTGGTGATATATTTGCAACACTGGTGGTTCTTAATGGTGAAATGTTGAGTTACGGTCATGTTGACGTAGACAATTATTTAAAACCTCTATATTGAAGCCAAAAGTATAAAAGGTCATTGAAAAGTTAAGTGGAAGGAAAAAATGTATTATTTTTCTGCAAACAGAGGAACAATCAAGTATTGGGTGTATATTGTTTGTAGTACATTGTATACTTTTCAGTAGATCAAATTTCTTTTTAAAAATGATTTCTTCTGGGAAACAGAATCTTTGGTGTTCATCATCATCATCAGATGTTTTGTCATACAGCTGCAGATCTGACGAAACCACAACGTGTTAAAGAATGCGATCCTAACTTAATGTGGTGGCTTTTTTTAGCTGTGTTTTATCTTGCCTACTCCAGCCTACTTGATGTGGTGACTGCTGCAGAGAGCCACTTCAGATGATGTCTTCTTATAAAGGCTCATCTGTAGCATTAAGTTGTAGCTCGAGGCAGAAACTGCTGCCTTTCTGTCTGACAGTATGTTATTAAAGTTATTGTCCTTCTAAACAGCTAAATATCAGACACCCACAGGTGTTTCCAACAAAACTGCTAATTAATTATTACGACCAAATAACTAACTTTGTCACTTGTTGATCAGAGAAGTCACAGACTTGTTTCCAATTCACGTTTGCTGATTTTTCACAATATTACTGATAATTGTTTTTCCTCCTTGTTTCCTCAAAGGAACGTTTTCCTTTTTTTTCTAATCTCACCACATCACTGGAGCAGGTTTCAAGTACGAGTGTCTGATAAATTACTGTGAGAACTGCAACTCCCATGATGCCTCGAGGTGTTTTTGATGTCCAGAAATAGTGAGGGGATAGAACAGTGCATGCAAAAAAAAAAGCCATAAGAAAGATGCAGTGACTGTATTGGTACAAAGAAATTTGATCCTTGACATTTTTACTTATCGTGTGAAAACTTTGACGATGCTTCTCGATAATTTCCGCTTTCTTTAGTTCGCATCTTTTATCATACAGAATGTATATTAAAGTTGGGTGTGTGGCAGACTGATTTCAGAAAGTAGGAAGTAAATGAAGAGGCTGAATATTCAGCCTGGAAAAAGCCAGCTGAATAATTTAGCAACACGTGAGTGGATAGTTTAGACAACAGATCAAATCAAAATATGATGCTAAAAGCTGCACACCAGGAAAAATTGAATAGGATCAAAAATACGATCGGTATAAAGAATGCATGTGTACACTTAATGAATCAACAAATCACTTTAGAAAAACCTAAACCATCTGTGTTTTGCAGGAAACTACAAAAGGGAAGTAGAGAATCAAATGAGATCAAAATCCGAATAACAACGAGGCAAATAGTTGTTAAATTTGCTCACATGTGTAACTCTAATGTAATAAATATTTATGTTAAATATTTGTTTAAACTCCAGTTCGTTGCTGCCCATTGTCAGTTTTCTGCTCGTAACAACGAACCAGAATGCCTCCGTTTTGTTTCCTGGGAAGATCAATTTCCCTTCAGTCATTGTTGAGTCTTTGAAGAGATCATCTCGTCTGCTGGACGTCTCCAAAGTGAATAAAAGGAAAAGCTTTGAAAATAACCAAAGATGACCAGTAGTTGTGCTCGAATAACTACATACAGAAAACAAAAACAAATCTTCGTCACACACAGATTTGTACAGATTAACTCGTCTGACTTTTTTTTAAAACACCTTGCAGCCACATAACAAGGGCAAAGTTCAGCTTTTCTCTGTCGACTCATCTCTTAACTTTCTCTCATCCTGCAGATGTTCGTTACAGACAAGGTGGAGGATTCAAGCTGCACCCTGCATGAGTTCTCCATCACTGGTTCTACATATGCCCCCGAGGGACAAATGTGAGTTTTGCAGAATGCGATCGACACCTCTCCCTTTTTAGTTTAAAAAACACTCTTAAGGCTCCACTCTACTGCTCTTATATCTATAAGCTACGAAATAAGACGCTTCTGCTTTGCTGGGTTGTTTTTGATGTCGGCGAACATGTTTTTGTGGAGGTGTGCAGGTAGGTGGCCGTCCATTAGACAGGAGAACGATGTCAGCAGCTCATGTTGTTTGCTCGACTGCTTAGCGAGCGCGCCGCTCCGTGTCAACCTGACGCTTTCATAACGGCTCAGTGTGGGTTTCTGTGTGGGAGCTCTGCTAGCAACGGCTGCAGCCTCCACAGGGAAGGGATCCACGGTCGCCGTGCAGTCATCAGCGATGCGTGACAGAGGCACACAATGTCTGCTTACCGCTGTACGGCCGCCGTTTTCTCCTCTCGACCAGTTGCCGGCTAAACCTGCTCTGACGTTTTCGTGACGTGTTTTCCTGCCTTCTGACTGCTTCTTTTTCTCCCAGACTTAAAGGGAACAAACCCGTCCAGTGCGGGGACTTTGACGGTCTGCTGGAGCTGGCCACTATCTGCTCCATGTGCAACGACTCCTCGCTGGACTACAACGAGGTCATTTGCATATACAGTTCTTTTGAGCTGCAATGCAGAACTTTTTCACTTTTTATTTTATGGTAAACTTTGATGGGATTTATTGGGATGTACGAAGAAGGCCAACACGAAGTGGTGCAAAATCTGAAACTAAATGGCTTTAATGAATGTTGCATCTCCCCTGTTTATTCTGAGTAAATAAAGCTCAGGGTTCAGAAGTCACCTAAATGAGAAATATTTAGACTCTAATTTGATCTAATTTTAAATCCAGCTGTTCTGTTTTTGGTCTCAGAGGTTTTTAGAAAACATTAGAGAAAAGTCGGGATCAAAAAGAAGTTGGCGGACAGGTCAGGCAGATCAGAGAAACCATATACCAAGATGTTACTTGGCACTGTCCATGGCTATAAAATAAAAACTCTAAAAGAACTGCAAACGCATCAAGACAAAGCTGCCTTACTGAGCACCGATCAGAGAAGTGGAGTGATGAAGTTTAGGACGGAGAAAACCTGAGTGGCTTCGAAAGGCGTGATATTTGAAGGTTAATTCACCTTCTTGTGATCATAAACATACAGCCAGAGCTGCAATGTGTTAGTGTCTTAGTAGTTTTTTGTTTATTTTTGTGGCTGATGAGCCTGACCTGCCAATTTTGCTTTTTGGCAAATAATTAATTTTTTTATTTTTGCCTGAGAAATCGCTAAATATAATGACAAAGTTGCTAATTTGGCAACAGTGGCCTGACCGTTGTTAACCACACCTGCTCTCACCACAGAGCAAAAGAGGACAACGGCTGATTTTCAGATCATTTCAAATGTAGATAAGATTTAAAAAAAATTTTTTAAATATTTTTTTTTTACATTCAGTCATCACCGGATTATTTTCCCAAACTTAAGGAAATCAGGTCCGATTTATTTGTCTGGTCAATTTCTCGGTGCAGGAATATTTGTGTTACAATGGCTCAAAGTCCAGACTAAATACACGGATGATCTCGGCGATTTAACGGTGAAATAGAAGCAAAAGTTTCAACCTGGCAGAGTCGTACCCCAAACTTGCTGTCCATCATTTTCCTTCCACCCCACAGTGCTGAAGCAGTCCTTGGTTGTTTTTGAAGCAACGCAAATAAAAGTTTTAAGGGTTCTGAATTCTTCCCTAGATTTCCCTCTTCCACATCCAGTGTTGCGAGAGGGTAATTTTCTTACTTGGAAAATACCGGCCACTTTCTTATACGAGCATTTTGTTCCTCCGAGCTAATTTTACTCTCGCGTATCGTCTTCTCCCTGGTCCGCATTGTTTTTCTCACCTCTTTGTCAACACCACGTTATCATGGTAACCACGCTGAGTGGGGAGGCCAGGGACAAAGCGGTTCTCATCTTGTTCTCATCCCCTCGAGATTTCAGTTTTCAGAAATAGCCTCTTTGCCACCAGTTTGGCTCATTTCTGAAAGAGACGCTAAGACGCGCGTGCTGACACATGTGAGGACAGAGGAGCAAGACGAGGAGGAGGAAGATGAGAGTAGTAGAGAGAAACGAGGAGTTTTGTTGCCTCTCACGCAGATAAATGATGCGTGCTGTTTACCGTTAGTGCCTCGTCTCAGCCAGCAAAACCAAAACAAGACGGATATGCTCACAGGGTATTTGCTTTAGGGTCATCGTTGACTAAATGTTTGTTGACATGAAGCATATGACTGTTTCCTGTGATTGTTGAAATTTAAAGCAAGTCTGTCCTCTTGCAGAGTAAAGGGGTTTATGAGAAGGTGGGGGAGGCCACCGAGACGGCCCTCACCACGCTGGTGGAGAAGATGAACGTCTTTAAGACCGACCTGTCAGGACTCACCAAGGTGGAGCGCGCCGGCGCCTGCAACTCGGTAAGCCCGCTAAGATTTCCCTCGGCATCTCATTCGACACTGGTGACCTTGGGCTTTTTTACTTTTTGAGCATTGGGTTCAGGTTTAGATGTCAGGGTATACAGGGCTTTTAAAAGGTTGCTGTTTCTAAACAGTTAAAAGTTGATCTAACCTTTTCTGCATTTTAAAGTGGGGGGGGGGTCTCAATGTAACTTTCTCACTTCTGATGCAATACCGATACTGACCCAACACAATATCATCTCAAATCATATGTACTTTTATTATTTATTTTGTTGTGTGGAATGTTAAAATAGACTTGATCATGTGATATTGCTCAAATAGAGAGCAATACTTATAACTGATATAAGTACATTGAGTTTGCATGTGGGATGCAAGTGATGTTTGATAGAAAAGTGGGCCGGACTAATTGCTGGAGTCCGACCCACGAAGTGCTTCGATCCAACTGCTTATATTAAAGATTTTAGATGTGAGTCGATAGAATTCGGTGTTTGTTTTTTGGCTGTTATTTTCCCTCATAATTGGGCCTGTCACAATAAGCAAGAAATTAAGTAATCGCACGGTAAATGAAAGCAAACTCAATCATTTTTATTTGCATGATTTATTATTATTTTTTTTTCTTTCTACCAAAAACTGGATGACAAAAGTCTTCAGTCTGGTGTTCTGGTCTCAACTAGCCCTTTGTTTGGAAGGACAATTTTGTTTACAGAGCCTTCATAACTTATTTAATTTGTTGTTCCTGTTGTTTTATTTCTGAATATTTTAAATGTCTTCCAGGTTCAGTGTTAAATGTTTGCAGAATTTAAATTTTTTTTGACCTTTAACAATGTGTTTATTACCATTAGTGGAAAATGGTCTCTAAACAACAATATTATCATTTATTGCACTAACTTCTGCAATAAGTTGCAATAAGTTTTGCTGGATGACAATTTGTCAGAATTTGTTACCCCGACAGATCGACTTATGGTGTCCTTTCCTCATAATGCGCCTGTCCCTCCTGCAGCAAAACAACCCCAAAACCTAATGCTCCCACTGCTGTACTTTAGTGTTATGGACTTTTATTTCTGTCTCTTCAATCTTCAGGTAGAACATGCTAAATAAAACTCCTGATATTCTAGCGAGGTTGTCATGTTTTACTGCAAGCCTTCCATCGTTATTATGATAATAAACCAAGACTATCACATGTCACTTCTTGTTTCTTTTGCTTTATCGCTTCATGCTATTAGAGAGACTGTTATAAACAGGATGTTGATCTTGCTAACTGTCCAGTCGCAGCTGCTGAAGCCTCTTCCCTGTGCAGGCCTGGTTATTTCTCCTCAGTTTTCATTCTGACATCCACAGCAACACCAGTTTGTGAGGCTGTGATTCATCTGCTTGGCGTTTTAAAGTCACCTATCCGCTCTAACGGTGCTCTCCTCTGCATATTTATTTCAGATCATGCTTTACATTTGGGTATTGTTTAACCATGGGTGGATAACTAAAGACTGAAGTCATCAGGTTGCTTTCTCCTCACACAAAGACTCGTTAATGAAGCACGTTGTTGTCACTTGACACATGTTTGACTTCAGGGCGTGTTGGCGATCGTTTGCTTATGACTTAGGACAAATTGCCTGTGAAAACATCTCCCAGCTGCTTTCCTCCTGTAGTAGTTTAAGTTCATCACGTGGGAATGGTCACAGGGTCCTGCTGTGTGAACGATTAACAGACTGATGAGCCGGTGATGCTGCTTCATTCTCGTTAAGGCACCGTGGCGATCGACGAACGGCGTAAGCGCTCCAATGAGAAGAAAAGTCAGATCTAGTATTAGGGAGGCGTGTTTTTTATTTTTTATTTTGTAATTTCCAAACAAACTTCCTGCAATCAAGCGATGTCTTAATAAAATTGACTGAAATGGGGTTTTTTTTTAGGCTTCTGACAGAAAGAAACAAAAAGGAGCTCAGATAAACATCCAGTTGTTGATGTGATGTAGCGGCAGGTTACAGGATCCAGTTCATCACCTGCAGTGATCTAGAGGGTCTGTAATCCGCTCAGCCTCAACAGGCTCGTCGAAACAGGATCGTAACTAGAAGGACCCCTGCTGGTAGGACAAGGCATCACAATGCAGGCTGAGGCAAAAGATGCCTTGCAGAAGTGTTCATTTTGGGGTTGAAACAATCGATTATTTAAATAATTGTCAACTAATTTAGCCATTGATTAACTGGAATAAGCTCAAAGAAAAGCCATTCGCTGAAAGAAGAATATGTTCAGAGCATAATTTAAGTCAAAACCGTATAAAAGAATATATATTTTGCATTTATAGAGAAATCTTTTTTTCTGTAAATAAGTTCCACCAAGAGCTCCTCAAGTGGCATAGTTTTTGCTTCACCTGGTCAACATTCTGTTAAAAAAAAAGTAAACTCTCCTATTAAGCACTGCTTGCTTTTCAATTATAAATGGAAACCTAGTCAACAGATCAGCCTTACACTGAACTGATGTTCAGTCGAGCAGAAAACGTCTCAGCTTTTCACATGTTGATGTTAGAAGTATTTTTTCAGCAGCAGAACTCCCCACACAATCCTTTGCAGTAAAGGTCTGTATTGCATTTTAGTCAATAAAACGTATATTTTGTTATTCAATAAAGAAATTTGACTATTTGTTTATTTGCCTTTTCTAATATATTCATAATATTGTAAAGAAGAAATAAAATGTTGTTACAAAAAACCCTGCAGAATGTTGCAACTTTTTTACTCTGATTAATCGTTATGATACTCGATTACTACAGTAATCGTTAGTTGGAGCCCTAGTTCATATCGCTCACATAGATTTTGGTTAGTAAAATGATTTAATGACAGTTTGAGTTGGTCAAATGCATAAAAACCCAATAAAATACAGAACATAGCAGTCTGCAGAATAATTAACATTGAACTGCGGTGTTTCCAGCTGTCCTTTCTGATGATCCTCAGTCAGATTTGAGGATCTCAGAGTGAGATTCGACTGTCCCTTGTGAAGAAGCTCAGCTTTGGCTCTCAAGCTACTAACCTGACTGATCCTTATACCTGCTCAGCTCGCCCTCTGACTCTTTCTTCTTCTTCTTAAGTTTTGTTTCACTTTCCTCCATCCTCTGTTGTCACCGTCAGGTAATCAGGCAGCTGATGAAGAAGGAGTTCACTCTGGAGTTCTCCCGCGATCGCAAGTCCATGTCCGTCTACTGCACTCCTGTCAAAGCAGGCGCCCAGAGCAAGATGTTTGTTAAGGTATGGGAACAGAAGCATAGTGTGTGTGTATATGTTCTCAGGTATAATTTAGACTACAAAAGTTTCCGTCTGACTGTCACAACAATTGTCCACACTGAGAACACACTGAGAACAAAAAATATTCTCAATTGGATAAAGTCTCTAATTCTGTTGGTGCTTAAAAATGTGTTTTTATACGGAGCATAAAAATCTCTTATGTTTTGTTTGTTTAAATTGTTGCTGACTTTATTTTTTCCCCGTCACAGGGTGCTCCTGAAAGCGTGATGGAGAGGTGCGACCACCTGCGTGTGGGAACGACGAAGGTCGCCATGACGCCAGCCCTGCGCGAGCAGCTGATGTGTAAGATCAGGGAGTGGGGGACGGGTAAGGACACCCTGCGCTGCCTCGCTCTGGCCACCCACGACACGCCGCCGCGCAGAGAGGACATGGACCTGGAGAACTCCAGCAAGTTCGCACAGTACGAGGTACGTGGAGGGGCTGCGCTCGCGGTCACATGATGGCACAGGCTCATAATTCAGTCTGATACAAATATTTTAGAGCCTTTTAGTCCTATTAAAAGTTGGAAATAACTTTGATTATAGGACACAGGCAAATTGCTACCTGGTTAGCAGCTGATTTCATGCTAGCTGTTTCTGCTGCTACCAGTTCCTCAGGATCTGTGGTTCTGTAGAACCTGGTCGTCTCACTTAATTCCAGGTTTGGCTTAAGAACCGTAAAAATTCAAGTTTCCTGAAAACTCTCTAATTGTCTGGAATGTAAGAACTGAAGTATGTTTCATGCCCAGATAAGTATAAAAATGCTCAGTTTAATTAACATTTGAGTGCAATATGGAAGAACGTTTATTGGCTTCCTTCTTTATGCTTTAATCATTCGTCCCTCTGGTTTTCCAACTGTCCATCCAGTGAAAGTCCCGTCAGCCTCTCCTTTCTCTCCCTCCTTTCAGATGGGCCTGACGTTCATCGGCTGCGTTGGCATGCTGGACCCGCCCAGGAAGGAGGTGATCGGCTCGGTGAAGCTGTGCAACGAGGCCGGCATCCGCGTCATCATGATCACGGGAGACAACAAAGGCACGGCCGTGGCCATCTGCAGACGCATCGGCATCTTCGGCGAGGAGGAGGACGTGAAGGGGAAGGCGTACACGGGCCGCGAGTTCGACGACCTGACGACCGAGGAGCAGAGAGAGGCGGTGAAACGCGCCCGGTGCTTCGCCCGCGTCGAGCCAGCGCACAAGTCCAAAATAGTTGGATACCTGCAGTCGTTTGACGAGATCACAGCCATGGTGAGAAGATACCAGGCGACGAGGCTTACAAATGAAATCGCTGATTTTTTTCACACAATCTATTTTCTGTTGTTTTTTTTTTGTTTTTCGCTTTCCTCAAAAGAAATTACAGAGGACAGAAAATATTTCCAAATGGTGGCTTTTATTTCAGTCATTACTTCTGTGAGTTGGACGACAAAGAATCTTGGACTTTTTAAATGATGAGCGTAAAGTCATAATGATAGCTGGATAAAGACATAACTTTACCAGAAAGAAGTCACAAAATAACAAGAAAACATTTTTTCAACGATGAAAAAAGTTCAGTTATTACAACATTTCAACAATAAATTATTGTTGGATTATTAACAGTTATTGCAACGAAGAGTAATATTATTATTTTCACACCATTTTCAAGCAATATTTTTAATAATGGTATCATAACGCAAGTTCGTCCCCTCAGAGACCAATAAACTTAAATTTTCTGAAAAATACCACACATTATAAATAAATAAAACACACCTAAAAAGAGTAAACAGAACAGAAAAACCACTTGCAACAACAATAAAAAAGACGGATTATGATGTTTCTGTAAACAAAATTGTCCATCAAAAAATGTTAGTAGTAACAACGGAAATTAATTTATCGTACCACTAATTTCTTAATTGTGACAGGCTTGATGAAATGCATAGCTTCCTCATTTAAGTCTTTTGTTATTTATCATGATGTTAAATCATCACATTATTCTGGTAGTATCTCAACTCTGTCCTCATAATGTAAGCAAAATAAATTATGACAAAAGTGTGTGCCGTCTGTGTAACGAACATCTGGACGGCGGAGGAGAAGCGGCCGTGTTCCCGGTCTCTCTGAGGCGGCTCCCTCAGACGGCGCCATCAATATCTGTCACTCGCTCCGCCGCTCCCTGTCTGACACCCGCCTCAGACGAGAGGCCGATCCTCAGGGAAGGCGGCGAGGCAACAGTATCACCACTTAGCTGTCAGATGTTGTCCAGTTCTCCTATAAATCCAGAACTGCTCTCAAGGCCCTGCCACTGCGGACGGATCCGACTCGCGTAAAGATCTGATCTTAATCGAGGCGGCGTTGTTAACTTCTTCCGTTTGAATGCGAGTTTTCTCCCCTTTTAAATACCTTGTTTGCAGTTAATCTTGTTTATTTTCTACTGCAATTATTTTAGTACATTTGAAATGAGACAGAAGTAACCTTTCAGCCTTTCAGATAAATACTCTTGTTTTACGTCAAAAATATAGTTTTTAAAAAGTGCCACTTTCACTGGCAGATATTTTTTGTGTTTTAAGTGAAAAAAATCTCAGTAAAATAAATTTTTTCAAGAAAATCTGTACTCAAGAACTATTAAATTAATACAATTGTATTTATCTTGCTGGTAAGTCACTTTTAACTCGTCTTATATCCTGTAGGGATGCACCGATTGGGCCGATATCGACATACAGTATAAATATTGCTGTTATGTACTTTAACTGATATTTTAAAGATATTGCAGATACATATTTTACCGCCCTTTCAACACCTGGAAAAAAAATCACACAACTGCTTTTCTGCTCCAGTTAAACTCCCCACAATCCTTTGCTGCGTCCCTGTCACATGACTAAACAAATGTCACATGACCGACCTTCTTTCCTGCTCCTCCAGAAACAAATGGCACCAAAATGGAAATATCAGTTGTTATCGACCCAGTTTTATTTATTGCACCAACACATTAAAAAACATTACTAATATTGGCCGATACCAATCTTAGTGCCGATATATTATGAGTCTCTTGTTTTTAATTCAAATATTTTAATACACTTGACGTTAGGTGAACAATACTTGATAAGAGTTTGTGTTTTGTAGCAAAAAAAAAAAAAAATTCCCCCCAATTTAGAGTGTCTTGTGTTATGTAACAAATTGCGTTTCTCTCAGACGGGAGACGGCGTGAACGACGCCCCGGCCCTGAAGAAGGCAGAGATCGGCATCGCCATGGGCTCCGGCACGGCAGTGGCCAAGTCTGCGTCTGAGATGGTGCTGTCCGACGATAACTTCTCCACCATCGTGGCTGCGGTGGAGGAAGGCCGGGCCATCTACAACAACATGAAGCAGTTCATCAGATACCTCATCTCCTCCAACGTGGGAGAAGTCGTGTGGTGAGGCTGAAACCTGGAAACTCCACGTAGGACTCGGCGCCAAATTGTTTTCCGGCAATAGCGTCCAGAGAGGGACGGCGTTTGTTTTTAAGCCCTACCTTCACGTGAGGCCGTCTCCGTGTCCCGGTCCTCGCCTGACCTGCTTTGTCTCCGCAGCATCTTCCTGACGGCCATCCTGGGTCTCCCCGAAGCGCTGATCCCCGTCCAGCTGCTGTGGGTGAATCTGGTGACGGACGGACTTCCTGCCACCGCCCTGGGCTTCAACCCCCCAGACCTGGACATCATGGACAAACCGCCCCGTAACCCAAAGGAGCCGCTCATCTCTGGCTGGCTCTTCTTCAGATACCTCGCCATCGGAGGTAGCGTTACGTCCGAGACCATGAAAAATGGATTCATACGGCTCATTTTATTGCACTAGTTTTATTTTTAACTTTGATTTCATATTTTCCTTTAGGATATGTGGGCCTTGGAACAGTGAGCGCAGCCACATGGTGGTATCTGTTCGATGAAGAGGGCCCACAGGTGTCTTTCTACCAGCTGGTGAGCTCAGCCTGTCTTTACACGTTTTCGCCCGTTGCAGCAAACCTCTGACCTCTGAATCTAAAGCCCTGTCTTCCCATTGAACCTCTTTTCTCCTCCCTTCCCACACAGCGACACTTCATGCAGTGCACAGAGGACAACCCGATGTTCAAGGACATCGACTGCGAGGTGTTCGAATCCCGCTACCCCACCACCATGGCGCTGTCGGTGCTGGTCACCATCGAAATGTTCAACTCCCTCAACAGGTCAGCGGCTGTCTGATGTGGAGGCCGAGCAGACGGGCGCTGAATGTCAGGGCTGTCAGGTTTTTATTAAAGGGATCAGACTCGGTTATCCAGCGCCACAACGAGCCCTTTGAAGGAGGGATTCGGTTACAGTGTCATTAACAAGCTCTGTACTGCTTCTCCTTATAAAAACTGATGTTACTTAACTTAAGAAAAGGAAGATAGATGGATTTTTGGAGGGAGGACTGATCAGATTAAATCCTTAAATTTAATCTGATCAGTTTTGGCCCATTTTTTCTCATTCTTGGACCAATCTTATCATTGCGGCCTTATAATGTCTTAAATTTGTCTAAGAAAGTTAATTTGGCTTTAAATATATCAGTCACAAGTCTTAATTTTTATAGTGAAGATATATATCTTTAAAATAAGTAAAACATTTGATTTTCTTTTGAAGATTTTTAGATGTGCATAGATAAATTTAAGATAACAGGTCTTAAATTTGATTCAAAAGTTGCATATTTGAGTTGGTGAAACCTGCAGAAACCCTGATTAACATTGCTGTTATAGCCAAGAAGTGATATTTACCCATTCGAGACAGTGAACCAAACAAATACCACCTGGGTAGCCCTCTCTTCCCCTCATGAATCACACACAAACAGCAGCAAGACCAAAATAATTACTAATGTTGGCCCATTTTATCTCGGACCAATATCGACATGGGGAAAAATTTACCAATACCTGCATTATAAAGGCTGATATCTTGTGCTTTCCTATCAATAATCATGATTATTACCTTGCAGTATAACTGTAAAAGTAAATTATGAAACATTTTACTTTTTTTTTTTTTTTTTTACTACCGTTTGAAGCTAACCGTTAGCTTCAAGTTAGCTGTTTTGTGGAGAACAAAGAAGTGACTGCAGAACCGCTACTCGTAGTTGTGCGTGTTGCCTCTCAGAACGATGTTGGCTCATTTTTTTTTTTTTTCCTGTCTTGGCAGTTTGTCTGAGAACCAGTCCCTGCTCAGGATGCCTCCCTGGGTCAATATTTGGCTGCTGGGAGCCATCATCCTGTCTCTGTCCCTCCACTTCCTGATCCTGTACGTCGAGCCTCTGCCGGTGAGTACTCAGGACGCCTGCTGAGGTCCAGTTACGGACTCCGCTTCGTTGTGATGCGACTATCGAGTGAAGAAGTGGAAGGGGAGGCGTGAAACTCTGAATTTTAATTCCATGAACCATTAACTGATTGGAGCAGAAATCATAGGGAAATCATTCGTACATTTCTAAGAACAGAGTTATTCTGAAAAGTGTGTTTAACTGTTGATCCTTATCTACCTTTAAAAAAAACATCTGGGAAAGAACATCCATGTTTTGTTAATTCTGCGTCTTTTTCAAACGGATAGCTTCAATTTTTCTGGTTAAGAACAAATTTGTTATTAAATGGTTTTTAAAAGGTTTTGTTGGCCCTAGTGGCCTTTATTTCATAATGAATTGACAGCAAAGTGGGTAATGAGAGAGAGGGAAGGCATGCGGCAAAGGTCACCAGGCCGGGAATCGAACCAGCGACAGCCGCATTGAGGACTAAGGCCTCCATATGTGGGTTGTGCTCAATCCCTGCGCCACCACAGCATTATTAAACATCAAAAATTGACCAACAAAGCTATTAAATATTTTGAGGTCTAGTAGTGGTGGCCATTTATCATATGGTTTATCAGTTTTTGGGATAAATTTAATACTATGACTAGAATCTGAGTTTGCCAATGTAGTCCAGTTAATGATGTTTAAAACTGTCTGAATTGGTTTTACGCAGTTACCTTAAAAAAAAAAGGATTAAATGGTTCTGACCATCACTTTTATTGTTATCACAACAATTCCAAAAAATATTGTGATAAAAAAAAAGTCCCCGTCATTCAGCTGCAGGTCATTCAGATGGTTTTTAATATTTCTGAATGGGTTTTCTTTGCCCCTCAGCTGATCTTCCAGGTGACCCCTTTGCGCTGGTCCCAGTGGATTGTGGTCCTAAAGATTTCCATCCCCGTCATCCTCCTGGACGAAGCTCTGAAATATATTTCCAGGAACCATTTAGAAGGTAAGCTGGGGTCAAAGTGGAGAAAAACCCTCTTCGTGAATTTCAGTTATTGTTAAACGGGTTCGGTTTTGTTCCTTTTTTTCTCTAATGCTCAGCAGCTTTTTCCACATTTCTGATCTTATTTTTTCCTTCTTCTGTTTTTTCCCTGCTTTCCGTATCAGCATAACTTTTAATCTCACCTTCTGAGAAAAGGTACCGCAGCGTTTTTTCTTCCTTCCTCTCTTTCTTCTCTGCTTTAGAACCGGACCAACATAAACAGTCCATTTCATTCTCTAAACCATGTTTTCTTTCCTTTTTTTGTGCGTTTCCCCGGCAGATGACGAGGAGAAGAAATATCGGCGGAGATGGCAGCAGAACTAAGACCTCTCCCTTGTCGCAATCGCATAGTTAGACACACACACACACAGCTACACTCTTCCTTTATATGAGCTAGGAACCTGTTCTCTCCCCGGCCCTCGTTCCCGTCTCCCCCCCACCTGCATGTCCAAACACGGCGCCGCTGAAAAACGACCTGAGAGAAACGGAGAGAGGGTTTATGTTCCGGCTCGGTACGAGTGTTTAGGGGGTTGCGTGTGTCTGAGTGTGTGTTTGCAGATGCACGACTTTTCTTTTTTGGCTGCGAGGATGAGAAACGACTGCAGAAAAAAAGAAAAGAAAGAGGATAAAACGGCCTTGGGCTTCTTAACACCATTTCTGCTCATTTGCTCTTTTTCACTGCACAGTACAGAGAAATGGTCTTGAGGGAGGGCGGGGGAGGTTTTGAGGGGGGCTTCATACTGATTCAACACAGAGTCTGAAAGAGAGGCGGAGGAGGAGAGACTGTACACATAAAGAGAGAAAAGACGAGGAGAGGCGGGACCTGGAGGCTGAGTGTGCGTGGGAGAGCCACCGCGTTCTTGTCCCGCAGCCTGCCGCTGCCACCACCCACACAGCTGCAGGAGCCCGGTCTCATCAGAACAACTCGCAGTTCGTCTTCGCCGTTTGTGTTTACACTTCCAGCAATCTCTCTCTCTCTCTTTCTTTCTTACACTCTTGTTTGAGGAGGCAGCTTTGAGCCTCAGGTTGGGGTCCATTTTTGGGTGGGTGGGGTTGGGGGTCAAAGGTGTGAATAGCTTTATGCTGCTTTAGCTGCTTCTATCAGCTCTTGACTCGAGGAGCTGAGGTCAGCCGACGCGCCGGGCAAAACGGAACGATCCCCAGCGAAGCTAAATTTAAAAATTACAAATCCTGGCCTTAAATCTGCCTCATTAAAATCATCCACACGCCGTCCGTCTGTCCGTAAACGTTTTCAGCAGCACAGCTACCAAACTGACTCTTCGACATTAAGAACAGGAAGAAATAGAGCAAAGGAGCTAAATGTGCTAGCCTTTGATATCGATCAGCTTTAGCGTAGCTGAAGATGCACTAATCAGACTTTTGTGCCGGATGTTTGACGTCTGGGTTTGTTTGTAAAGCTTTACCTACCTTAGCCTAAATTTACCAGTTCCAATTTCTGTTCATCGCAAAGATACAGGGTCTTTCTTTCTAGCTAACTTCATTCCGGTTCATATTAGAAATGGAGGAGACATCACACAACAAATAAGAGAGCACTGACTTCAGGTGTTTTAAAACAAAGACAAACTCAATACAGGGCTAACATTTTCCATATTCTGTTAGCGTAGCTAGCTTGTGTGTGTTTTAGAGAATCTGAACTGTGACGTCCAAAGTTCTGTATCTTCCATAACAGCCAAAAGTGGAAAGCAAAGCAAATATAAAAACTGAGAAACTTCAACATATTTTGCGTTTCATTCAGGATTCTTGTTTTCTGCTGAAAGTTTTGCTCTCGAATTGACATTTTTGAATTTCCAACAAGACTGGCTTGTGTGTGTAGGATGACAATTGGGCAATTTCAGTCATTTTCTCCTCATCTGTAGTTTAAGTGAACAAATAACTCTGCAGACGATCATAAGTTGTAAAAAAAAAAAACTCATCAAAGAGATAAAACTTTAACGTTTTGTTATAAGCTTTCTGCTCTGCAGCTTTCTTGAGGTAAATTCGTCTCATGTGAAAAAAATCAGAATAATCTCCATTTTTTGAGTTAAACTGATTGAATGTCTCCATTTTGCACTATGTGAAGTGTCCGTGTCTTGTGAAGCCCACTGCACATCCAAAATAAAGATGTGGCCCTCATGAATGTGTCGCCGTGGAGCTTTTCCTCCGTCCTCGGTGTGAGCGAACGAACGTTCGTTCGCCCCGTTCGCGTTCTGCTTCCTCAGCTCCGCTCGCTCTCAGCGCTTTCGCAGTTTACTCAAAGTTAAAAAAACAACAACAAAAAACATAAAGACTAGACAATGTATTTGACTGAATGAACCCACGTGGAAGGGGAGCGGGGTTTGAATGTGTGTGTTCAAGTCTTTGCAGGAGTTTTGTTTTGGGGACAGAGAGTCTCTGTGCTCTGTGGGTGGCGCTGTTTCTCAGTGGGGGGTCTTGTTTCTTTAAGGTAAAGAACACACATTTAAAAACTAGAATTTCAGGTTGCTGGTTGAGAACCCAACCACACGGCGTCGGGTCCCCGGTTTTGATCACACTTCAACATCACTGAACAGAGTACTTTAGGCCGAGTTTATCTGTGTCCTTTTAAATGAGACAAAACTTACTTACAAGTAAATTTTCAACATAGAATTCTGTTTCAAGTCATTGGTTAATATTGATGAAAAAGTGTGAGTAAAATAATAACTAGTACTTTTTCAACAATATCAAGGTAATATTGACTTGTAATTATTCTTATGTCTTGCTTTTTTTGTCTTATTTCAAGTGTACCAAGATATTCGTACTACAAACTACATCAAAAATACTTCAGTCTCTGTAACAAATAAATTAAAAAGATGCTCTTTTCTTGGTCACGACATTTTTGGTGAATTTGACATTGTGAAGCTCTGCTGGGATGAAATCTTTCTTGTGTAACTAAACTGACCCGGTTGGACTCGGCGTAGTGTGTGTGGATCCTTTTCTTTTTCTCTTCGTTGTTGCTTCCGGTCGTGAACCTGAGACACCAGTCTGCTGTTCCTCACTGTTTTGTCGCTTTTGTTTTTGTGGGGTTTTTCTTATTATCAGCTCCAGGATGTTCCCAGCTTGTCGAGTTCTTAAAACCTCTGGGACGGCCGAGCGAACTGAGTTAATAATGACGCAGCATTAAAAGGGTGAAGCGTTGCTTTAATTTCTTAGTAAAAGCCACCTTGGTTTGCCCCTAGAATGATGCGCCCTGTCCTTACCAGCGGACCATCCCACACCCACCCAGGTCACCACACTGCAAAAACTCTAAATCTTAGTCTTTTTTTTTTGTTGTTTGTTTGTTTCTATTGCAAATATCTCAGTACAATTGAAATAAGACAAAACGAACTCACAAGTAACTTTTCAGCAAGACATAGGAGCTTGTTTTAAGTCAATAAATCCTTAAAATTGATGAAAACACTAGTTCCGCTGGCAGATCATCTCACATGTAACTTGGTGTGAGGAACGTCTTTTTATAAGTGAAATAATCTGCCACTAAAACTGATACTTTTTAAAATCGACGTTCAAGAGCTATTGACTTGAAACGAGCTGCTGCGTTTTGCCGAAAAGTTACTTCTAAGTTATTTCAAATGAACTTTCCAACGCTCTAGAAACCAAACCCAAACCTCCTGGTGGGATTTAGAGTTTTTGCAGTGCAGGTCTCTCTGACACGCTGGCACTATGGGTCTCTATAGCCTGGTTATCTACTACTGAATCCTCCATTCTGTACAGGCGAGAAGAATACGATCGCATGGAACCTTGTTACTGTAACAATAACCTATACAGTATGTAATATTTAAATTTTCTGTTCTTACATCATATGTACCGCAGACAGACTTGCAAGGAAATAATTTTTTTTGGTTTCGTTTGTTTTTTTACGTCTCCGTTGAGCACATGGCTAAGGATCTGTTTTTTTTTTTTGTTGTTTTTTTTTTGTGTGTGTCCAATACAAGGTCATTTCCTCACTGTTTTTGTTTGGTCTTTACACTTACTGTCTTTTTTTCCCCCTTATTATTTTTTTGTCTTTACTGTAGAGAGAAAAAAAAAACAAGGATATGAAATTAAGATAGAGAAGAATAGTGCTTATGTTTGTTAGTGGCAATAACGTGGATCATTTCAGCGAGGGCTGTCTGGTGTGGGAACGCTCCGCCGCTGCTCGGTGTGTCTGGTTCACGCCGAGCAGCGGCGAAGTCCTGATGTTTTATGACTGTACGTTGTTGGTGAGGAGCCGGGCTCTGGAGAACCGCCGCACTCTTTGTACGCACCTCGCCGTGCGGCACTTCCGCTTTAAGGCCCGACCTTCGGTCTGAGAACCGGAAAAGGCGTCGAGAACAATCCGGCTGAGTCCCGATTTTTCCGATTGGACCGTCGAGGCGTCTCCAGAGCCCGAGTTTCACCTCTGAGAAATTGGGGGGGGGGGAAAAAAAAAAAAGGATTCTCTGTGTTGCCTTGTTAATATTAATTGTGGACACATAATTTTATAAACAACAGAGATGTGGAAATAAAGATTATTTATCTTGTTATTTATTCAGGGGTTGTGTTCTTTGTCATACATATATATTATTTTTTGGGTTGATTAATCACGATTAATCGATTGTTGAAGTAATCAACTAATTCAGTAATCGATTGTTACTCCAAAAATAGACCATTTGCTGAGAGAACAACACTCGCTTAAAGAAATAATGAATTTTAAAAAGGTATACATTTTGCATTTATTTAAGATTCTTTTTAAAAAGTTGCCTGTAAATACATTACCCAGACATCCTCAGGTGGCTTGTAGTTTGAGCTTCACTCGGTTCAAATTCTGTAAATATAATGTAAATCTCAAATTAAGCCCCTTTTGTTGTCCAGTTATTAATCAGGTAATCAAAACAAAACTTACACAAATTAGCATATTATTTAAATCAGGCCAGTGTCCCAATCAGTTCCACTAAACTTTATGAAAGAGTAAAGAGGTTTTGGTCGTGCATCGGTTTGTCACTTAAAATCTGAATAAGATGCATTCAGTAAAATATAGATTTGTTTGTAATGTGACAGTATATCATTTAAAGGTCATAAATATGACCAAGGCCTTCTGAATCCTTACATTATTTTTGAGGGCCAGACTGACTTATTTTAAAGATGCAGAACCTTGCATCGTTTTTCTCCAACATCAAATTCCCAGAAGGAACAAATGTGAGCCAGTTTTCCTCTCCTGGTTCCAGTGCTGTGATTAAAGTCTTTGCTCAAAGTAGTTTCTCCTTCCCATCTGTTGGCAACGTGGCTCACAGATGTTTTGGAAGTTCTTCATGCTGGTGAACACACTCGCCGCATCCTCCTGCTTTTGGTTTCTGTCTGAAAGCATTTGAGACGATTCATTCCTCTCCTCTCTGCTCTTTACGCAGAACCGTCAACATGCGCTGTGTGTGCTGCGTCTGTTTGTTTTCTGTGACTCGACTGCACCTGCTACAGTAAAGTAGAAATGCAATTTCTACTAAAAACAAAAAACAGCCTGATCTGGTTAGTGATACTGAGCTGTTATTTTGGATGAGGCCGTGCTCCCAAGTACAGAAAATAAAGGAGTTATCCTCCACTTTCAGATGAACTAAACGCGTGTGCTGCTTCAAGGCGGAGACTTCAAACGAATGCATTACAGAGCATATCCCCCACTCAGCTCCTTCAGACTAGCAGGCAGCAATTTAGCAAACACCTGGTGGAATTACGCATCCGCTAAACTCGTCATACTACTGCGTTTCAGTGTAACGCAGAATGTGGTTGAAGGAATAACATAGGAGCACGATAGTGAGTACTTCAGAAAGAGCAGGACTTTCTTCGAGAGACAGAAGTCTAATTTGAATGACAGCCAAATTTTCTTTTAAGTCATATATTTACAGCATTTTTATCACAACTGAAGCGTGGTTACTTCCCAGCCAGCACGCATGAGTGGGCCCCACTTGTGTTTGATGTGGGCTACATGGGTAATGAGTGGGCATGGGTTTTATCTGGGCGAACTGCATGGGACACATATGGTTAACCTAAAATGAGACCCATATGGGCTGGCCCATATGGGCTAAATGCATGGGCCCTATTCAGCAACTAGGTGGGCTATCTGGGAATGGGATAGTACTGGGCAACACTATATGGGGCCCATGTGGTTTCAGTATCATGGGCCCAACATGGGAAGCCCATGTGGGCTGACCACATTGAACCCACATGACATCAGCATGGGCTGACCATATATGGGTTAGACCTGGGTGTGGATATGTAGGCCCCAGTCCTTTTTTAAGTGGCTATCTGGGAATGGGATAGAAACGGGCAACACTATATGGGGCCCATGTGGTTTCAGTATCATGGGCCAACATGGGAAGCCCATGTGGGCAGACCACATTGAACCCACATGACATCAGCATGCGCTGACCATATATGGGTTAGACCTGGGTGTGGATATGTAGGCCCAGTCCTTTTTTAAGTGGGCTATCTGGGAATGGGATAGTACTGGGCAACAGTATATGGGGCCCATGTGGTTCTAGTATCATGGGCCCAACATGGGAAGCCCATGTGGGCTGACCACATTGAACCCACATGACATCAGCATGGGCTGACCATATATGGGTTAGACCTGGGTGTGGATATGGAGGCCCCAGTCCTTTCTTAAGTGGGCTATCTGGGAATGGGATAGTACTGGGCAACAGTATGTGGGGCCCATGTGGTTCTAGTATCATGGGCCCAACATGGGAAGCCCATGTGGGCTGACCACATTGAACCCACATGACATCAGCATGGGCTGACCATATATGGGTTAGACCTGGGTGTGGATATGTAGGCCCCAGTCCTTTTTTAAGTGGGCTATCTGGGAATGGGATAGTACTGGGCAACAGTATATGGGGCCCATGTGGTTTCAGTATCATGGGCCCAACATGGGAAGCCCATGTGGGCAGACCACATTGAACCCACATGACATCAGCATGCGCTGACCATATATGGGTTAGACCTGGGTGTGGATATGTAGGCCCCAGTCCTTTTTTAAGTGGGCTATCTGGGAATGGGATAGAAACGGGCAACAGTATATGGGGCCCATGTGGTTTCAGTATCATGGGCCCAACATGGGAAGCCCATGTGGGCTGACCACATTGAACCCACATGACATCAGCATGCGCTGACCATATATGGGTTAGACCTGGGTGTGGATATGTAGGCCCCAGTCCTTTTTTAAGTGGGCTATCTGGGAATGGGATAGTACTGGGCAACAGTATATGGGCCCATGTGGTTTCAGTATCATGGGCCCAACATGGGAAGCCCATGTGGGCTGACCACATTGAACCCACATGACATCAGCATGGGCTGACCATATATGGGTTAGACCTGGGTGTGGATATGGAGGCCCCAGTCCTTTCTTAAGTGGGCTATCTGGGAATGGGATAGTACTGGGCAACAGTATGTGGGGCCCATGTGGTTCTAGTATCATGGGCCCAACATGGGAAGCCCATGTGGGCTGACCACATTGAACCCACATGACATCAGCATGGGCTGACCATATATGGGTTAGACCTGGGTGTGGATATGTAGGCCCCAGTCCTTTTTTAAGTGGGCTATCTGGGAATGGGATAGTACTGGGCAACAGTATATGGGGCCCATGTGGTTTCAGTATCATGGGCCCAACATGGGAAGCCCATGTGGGCAGACCACATTGAACCCACATGACATCAGCATGGGGCTGACCATATATGGGTTAGACCTGGGTGTGGATATGTAGGCCCCAGTCCTTTTTTAAGTGGGCTAACTGGGAATGGGATAGAACTGGGCAAAACTATGTGGGGCCCATGTGGTTTCAGTATCATGGGCCCAACATGGGGAGACCATGTGGGCTGACCACACTGAACCCACATGACATGAGCATGGGCTCATGTCATGGGCCCAACATGGGGAGACCATGTGGGCTGACCACACTGAACCCACTGTGGGTTCAGTGTGGCCACAGTGGGTTGACCCATATGGTCAACCCACTGTGGGTTCAGTGTGGTCAGTACATATCCACGCCCAGGTTGGACCTGGTGTGGATATGTAGACCCCAGTCCTTTTTTAAGTGGGCTAAATGAGACAAAATTGTAGAACAATGTACAGGGGTTGGACAATGAAACTGAAACACCTCTCATTTTAGTGTGGGAGGTTTCATGCCTGAATTGGACTAGCCTGGTGGCCAATCTTCATGAATTGCACATTGCAACAGTAAGAGCAGAGTGTGAAGGTCCAATTAGCAGGGTAAGAGCACAGTTTTGCTCAAAATATTGCAATGCACATAACATTATTTGGGACATACTGGAGTTCAAAAGAGGGCAAATTGTTCACCAAGACAGCAAGTCTTTGTGATTATCAAGAGCCACAGTATCCAGGGTAATGTCAGCATACCACCAAGAATGACGAACCACATCTAACAGGATTAACTGTGGATGCAAGACGAAGCTGTCTTAAAGAGATGTTTGGGTGCTAACCCGGATTGTATCCCAAAAAAACATAAAACCACGGTGCCCAAATCACGGTAGAATTAAATGTGCACCTCAACTCTCCTGTTTCCACCAAAACTGTCCGTCGGGAGCTCCACATGGTCAATATACACAGCCGGGCTGCTATAGCCAAACTTTTGGTCACTCGTATCAATGCCAAACGTCGGTTTCAATGGTGCAAGGAGCGAAAATCTTGTGCTGTGGACAATGTGAAACATGTATTGTTCTCTGATGAGTCTACCTTTACTGTTTTCCCCACATCCGGGAGAGTTACGGTGTGGAGAAGCCCCAAAGATGCATTCCAGCCAGAGTGTTGTATGCCAGAGTGAAGCATGGGGGTGGATCATTGATGGTGTGGGCTGCCATATCATGGCATTCCCTTGGCCCCATACTTGTCCAAGACGAATTGATGCTGTATTGGCCTCAAAAGGAGGCCCTACACCACGCTAATAAGTTATTGTGGTCTAAAACCAGGTGTTTCAGTTTCATTGTCCAACCCCTGTAGTTAACCTGTCACTTTCAAAATTTTGACTGTATGTCAAAGCAAAAGCTGCAAGAGCAAGATTCTCAAAACTTGGAAAGAATTACCCGAGATGTCAGCTTTATAGTCTTTGCCAAGGCAATTGTTACTCAGCTGGCCTCTAATGGAGTTGATGTAAGGTAAATTGTAGAATTTAATTTTTTCCTTGTAGGAAACCTCGACGATAGTAAAGGTTGGTGACCTTGACCATTGTCGAGGTCTCCAGGACGAAGGTGACCTCGTCTTGGAGATCACCCAAGGATATATTTTGCTGATAGAACAGAACATCCATGTCTTCCTAATGTTTGAACCTAAAACATGTTCACTGTGTGATATCTATGCCTGGCTCATTTACAAACACTAGGCTTCCAGAGGACCAGGATATTAAAACATTAAAAATAATTCTACAATGCTTTATTTTTTTAAACCAGTTCAGTATTGCTCTAGCCACACTTTGAACCCTTAACATTTTTTCATGTTATTATTTTATGCTAGAACAGTCCAGTCCAGTCTCCAAGCCAGTACGC